TTCTTACAGCAAGAGAAATGCTACTAGTAAATTTTGGAACTTTGTTGGAATTTCAATTGATTTCCTTTTTCATTGCAGAACAAGTAAAAGAGAGTAACAAAAAAGCAACACATTAAAAGAGAGGTTCTGTCCTTTTACCTTTCTGAGAAAGGTAGAAAAAGGACAAGTGAGTGGAGATGCGGGGTATCGATCCCCGTACCTCTCGCATGCTAAGCGAGCGCTCTACCATCTGAGCTACATCCCCTTTTGAAAGCAGTGCACTGGATATATATTAAGACTTCAAAACACTCATTCCTACCTTATGTCCATGAACATCTTGAGTCAGATCCATGATTTTATTTTTATGAGTTCTTACAACGACTTTAAGTTAATTTAAAATAAGATAGGTTTCAAAATAAAATATTTAGTGAATTTATTAGGGTGCAGTCCTTACTTGAAATCTGTGTAAATGCGAGATACTTTGTACACCAAATATTTTTTTTAAAAGTAAATTTCTTAATATTTATACATGATCGGACAAAAGTTGTTGGGTTCAGGTGATCGTCAAATATTGTATTTCACCATGTTACACTTCATGGAACTTTTTGTTATAGTAGGTCAGAAAATGAGTTATTTTTTTTATTTCTTATCCGGTGTCCTGTATTCGGTACCCACATTGGGGTCCGACTATATCCGGATTCGCGCCGCGTAATGCCCTATTTGGAGAAAACACTCTCTGCCAAGGATTTTTTCATACTTAAAGTTCGGACCCGAAACCTCTAGCTAAGGGAAGACCAACCTCCTCCACAGCACCACATGTTGAGGATGGCATGTAAGGTGAGTTACTAAAGTGGTAACCTATTTGTGTTTTCAGAACAAGATTTAACATTTTCGGCGTTTTTTATCTTTTGTGCAATGTAGTCATTATTGAGTTATTTTTCATTACAAAAATTAATATTATGACTTGGTTCAATAAATTAAAAGTTAAATGATCATATGCAAAATTATCCCTACAAACCCATGCTTGCACCAATATTTTTCTTTGGGTTTTCTTTAAAAAAACCATCTGGAATAAGTTTGAACTTAATGGAGAAAGAGCAATGTTTTTGTGGTAGCATTTGGTAAGTGTCTTTTTTCTTATTCTCATTTTTTATTCGGTTTATTCAGTAGTTGTATTAGGGTCCATTTAGTTCGAATTTGTACCGAAAATTCTTACGAGGGTAAAGTGCTTTCTACCAAAAGCGTTTCCATTTGGGCAGGGTCGGCTCAAGCACGTACGGGGCTTAAAGCCAAAATTTAATATGAGACCTAAATTTTTTTTTTTAAAAGTTATAAGATATATTTTTATTTGAAGTCTATTCTTCTAACTTTTTGAGATATAAAGTTGTTAATAAATTTTTTTTATAATTGATTTTCTCTAATAATTCTTGCTCGATTAATAATATAACCAACTTATTTAATCTTTCTTGAGATATTATTGATCTTAGATAAGATTTTTCAAAGCAATAGAAGTATATAACTATTGGAAGCTTAAAAGTATGGATGAAACTAGTGAAATCTTGGAGAAAGAAGGTGAGTAATAAAATATTAGAGAAAGAAGTGAGTAAGAATATCAAAGAGAAATATAAAAAATATGTAGGATTTTCTGAAATATAAAAAGATTGAAAAAAAAAATTGACTTGAACAAATTAAGGAAGAGAGCAATTTTTTTAATGGAGTAAAAAATGAAAAACTAAAAGTGATGAAAACTATTCATCATTTTTAAGCAAGTCAAATTATTATTTTATTTGTATATATAAAAAGTTTTCTTTCCTTTATATTAAAAACTCTAGTTTTATATTTAAAATACTAAATATTATTTTTTAAATACATATGAACCTGTTATTTTTAAAAAATGAGGCCCCCTAAATTTGGAGGCCTTAGATACAAGCCTTACTCCACATAAGGTTGGAGTCGGCCCGGCATTCAGGATTCAAACACCAAACCTCTTATTAACTTATTAAGAATGGAAAAGTACTTGCTATTTATTTCACTGCAGACTTTAGTGGTGGTTAGTGTCAATTTTTCATGAAACTAATGAAAACTATTCTACCACAAAACTTTATTGGTGATAAATGTAATTTTTTCATGAAAATAACAATACTCGCTAGCAGTGGCAGAATTGAGTAGAAGAAAAGGGTTTAACTGAATATCATCTTGGTAAAATTATATGTGCAAATAGAGTAAAAATAATTTTTTTTGGTTATATGTAAGTTGTTGAATTTTGAACAAAATTTTAGTGCGGTGTTCAATAGTTATTCTTGGTAATAGGTTCAAATCTCAACTATAAAATACTAAATTCTTTTAAATCCCCTTATATAAATTATTGCATCTATCTCTACGGTAAAGGTGTCAATGGATATTTAAAAAACGATCGAACCGAACCGATTTTTAGGTTTTTTTAAAAACAATCGTAGGTTTTTATATAAATCTATAACCGTACCGATAATTAGGGTAGGTTTTTTATTTTATAAAAATAAACCGAAAAAATATCAAACCGTACCTAATAAATTTTACATGTGAAAAATATATTTATATCTTAAGTTTAAAAATAATAAAGCATTAAATTTTTCTTTGGACCTTGGAATTATGAAAATTGTTATAAGTCAGACCAATTTAACTCAAAATATTAATTTCTAAAACCTATTATGCTACTCCTACTTAAACTAAGTTATTTTCAGCATCTTCATTAGCAAGACACAGTATTTCAGTGATTATGAGTAGCAAACTACAATGTATTGAATATGTTTCCTTTCATATAATCTAGATTTATCTTTTTGAATATTTAATCTTCTATAGACTTTATTCTTGAGTCCCATCTTGGTTAATATCTTTCCACTCGTGTGATTTATATTTTCTTTGTCTTTGCTTGATTTCTTTTACGTTGTTGTAGAATAGTTGATGGATCTATACTCTGGCCATCTTTTATGTTTTTTTAATTCATCACCATTTAAACAGTAAAAATATCTAGGGAGTTTTGCTAAGTCCTATAAAAGAACATATGTTATTGTATTCTAGTTCTACTTGTGACTTTTACATGACATTTTAAAAAATACCGAAAATTAACCGAACCGTACCGACACCGAAGAGAAACCGACATGATTGAGACGGTTTCGAAAAATCTAATTTTGATTATATATAATAGAATAACCGAAAAATTAATATGGTACAAATTTTATAAAATAACCGGCCTAACCGAAAATTTAAAAACTTTATTTCCGCAGAATAGGATAACATATTTTAAGACTAGTGCTTCTTTACCCTCAGCTTTATAACTATGTAATTTAATTAATAGGACTCAATTTAATAATTACTTTAATATAGTCCTTTACACCTATCCCTTTACTTTCCTTGCCCATAAAAGAAGAAGTAAAAGCAAATGAAAAGGGAAAACGGAAAACCAACGGCTGTTCTTTTTACCACTTTTACTGTCCATTTTGTACCTTTCCCCTGTCAACCAAAAATTAAATAGAGAAACAGAAGAAAAAGTAGCATATGGATAGGAAATTTAAAAGTAAAAGGCAGGATTCTATGTAATCTAATCATTATAAGAACCATTACTTCTTTAAGTTAGAATTTAGATTTTAAAAATAAAGATTTTTTTTTTTGTAAGGCATGCTTCCTCTTAATAGGTCTATCCGATACGAATCATATTTAGACGTATATTAGGTTTAAACTTAAAAATGAAAAATTCCGCAAGACATGCTTTACCGTCCTTAATAGGCCTACTCAATGTGAATTAATTGAATCCAATAAATTTCGAAAGCTGAAAAAGAATCATTTTTAGAAATGGTAAATCTTGTCAACCTTCCGAAAATTGAAAACCTTTTCTCAAGGTCTTGTTGAAGTCATTGTTGAGATGTAGAGGCGGAGTTAGGATTTCAAACTTATGGGTTCGGGATTATAATCCTTTTAAGTTAATGGGGTCTAAATTAATAATTTATATATATTTAATGAGTTTCTAAAATAAATACAGGGATTCGAACCAAAGCTATTGGGCTCGTCCGAACCCGTTCTCGTTCTCGGCAATCTAGCTTCGCGACGCAACTTAAATGACAAACTTCATTTTCTTAATATTTGTGGGCAATTCCCGTTTGTCTTTCAGAGTTTAAAGAATTTCGGTATTTACAATATTGATTGCATTAGTGTAAATATGATTAAAATATTTAAGATAATAAGGTTGATTTCTTGGTATTTGAATAAAATTATTCATAATTATGGTGTTTGTAGTTTTTTAGGATAATTATTATTAAGGATAAAAAAAAATATAATTAATTTTGTCCTGAACTTCTAAAATGATAAATAATTTGAGATAATTTTTTTTTGTAATCACGACTGTTAATATGAGACGCAAGGAATAATATATATAGATGATGAAAAAAAGCACGTTAGTAAAAAAGCAATTATTGAAAAGATAATAAATTTAAATTCTTGAAAATTGTGCAAGTGATATAAAACGAAAGGAGTATCATGAGAAAACAAAAAAGTCCATGATAATACAAGTAGTAGTATATTTTCCCCAATATCCAACATGCGAAATTATACCTTTCCGACGCGAGTCATTTTCTTGTTTATTTCTATGATAATAATAAATACTAATTTTTCAACGGAAACTAAAAGTGTGTCTAGTATTAGAATTCAAAAAAGAAAAAAAAAGTCACTATCAAATACAGTTCAGCTGATTATTTTATATCATTTTGTTTTCTGAATACAGTTTAACCGATTATTCCACATAAAAAATATTTACTATCAAATACAGTTTAATTAATTTCAGTATAATTAATTCAAACATGATTTGTTTTTAAACCAAACGATCATGTACACTTCCGATGAATCATAATATATATCTGACATTTAAATAATATGATACCATAAATATCTTTTACACCTAGTGGTGTGTAAATATTAAACTCAATTACTAGTCGAACAGAAAAGAAAAAAAAATACAGGGAAATGAAGTGAACAAAATATCTAAATTGTACACTTCTAGATAAATTGAACAGAGCAAGAAACAGCATTAAAGATAGTACAAACATTGTCATCTGCGTTCAGACACGGCTGCCTTACACAAAAGAAATTTCTCTGGTCAACTCACGCGCCTTCCCTAAACTCACCCTTTACAATTCTTTATTCTTTGTATTTTTAGCTTCTTTTTGCTCGATCTGATAAAAACACAAGTTAAAGAATTTGGCTTTGATGACCAATTCATTGGAATTATTCTAGTTTGTTTTTGACAATATTGCCTTCTTGAATTGACTACTTCTTGATTCAGTCAGTTGGTCTTTTGTGTTAAAGCTGAGTTTTTTTTTCTTTCTATTTTATGGTTTATTTAGTGTATGTTTGATGCCACTGTTTTGAGTTCTTGCTTGAAAAAACTGAGGTGGGTCGCTGAGATTTTTGTTGAAAAGTTTGTGATTTAGATATTTGAGAGGTGTTCTTCAGAAAACTGCAAAGGGGTTGGTGGTAAATGCAGTAAAGACTTGACCTTTAGTGGGATTTTGCAGTAAAGACTTGACCTTTTGTGTGATTTTTAGGAGGGGTGAAATCCCTTTTGATTTATTGGTTTATACAGGTGTTTGATGCCACTGTTTTTGAGTTTTTGAATGAAAATCTGAGGTGGGTCAGTGAGATTTTTGTTGAAAAGTTTGTGAATTTGATATTCGAGAGGTTTTCTTGAGAAGAATTCGATAGTGTTGGTGGTAAATGCAGTAAAGACTTGACCTATAGTGGGATTTTTAGGAGGGAGTGAAATCCCTTTTGGTTTATTGGTTTATACAGTGTGCTTGATGCCACTGTTTTGAGTTCTTGCATGAAAATAGGAAGTTGGTCAGTGAGTTTTTATTTGAGAAGTTTGTGATTTGGATATTTGAAAGGTGTTCTTCAGAAGATTTCCATAGGGTTAGTGGTAAATGCTGCAAAGACTTGGCCTTTTGTGAGATTTGAGCAGGGGTTTGGGGTTTGGGGGTATGTTGAGTTATTCATGATAAGTATTGGTTGCTTTGTTTATGCTGATTCAAAAGGAAATGGGTGTAAGAGGAGTAGCCCAATTGTGTTTTTTTATCAGTACTCTTTTTATTATAGTAGCAGCAACTGATAGCAAGAAGTCGGTGGAACATTTGCTGGTCAATCAAATCAGTTCCGGGGAGATCAACCAAGAATTGGTACTAACAACTTTCTTCTTTAGCTGATTTATTTTTACACAATGCTTGAATATTTTTTTTGCTTTGTGAAGTTTTAATAGGTTTCTTTGGTTTACCTAATTTGTAATTAGAAAAATAGTGTGTTTGGAAAGGGATAGAATGAATGTCATGGATTGCTCCTATGGAGCAGTTCGATGAAAAATTAACATTATTTGATCCCGCCACTTTTGAGAAATATGTAGCAGTATTTCGTCATAATGAGCATATGTTTCCGTATCCATGTTCACAAACTTTGTACTGTGTAATAATTTTCTTGCTTTTAGCATCACTTTTTAATTTGTGAAGCATTTGATATGCCATTTTGTGAAAGAATGGAGCAATCTATGCATCACTTCATTTAGATGGAATCTTGAGTTCATTCCTTAGATCAACTAGGTGATTGTCGTGTTGTTCTCTTGACCAGCCAGCCCTTATAGCGAGGCACTTCTTATGCTTTTCGCTATTGGCAACGCTACATTCTACTGGTCTATAGTTTCCTTTCACTTACCTGCTACCAATTTTCCTATATATTGATCCAAACAGTCACTCTTTCATCAGAAGTTCCAAATGTTTCCCCTCAATTTTCCGTACTTCCAAGTTTTTTAATTCGGACCAGCATCAACAGCTCTCTCTCCTCTTACATATTTATAGCCTTATAGGTAGTATTTTCATTTGTACGTCTTTGAGAATAAGTATTCATAAGCAATTCTGATTGTAATCTTCTGCTGCAGGCTGAACTGTTATGGTTGAACTGTAGGCTAGAGTTATTACATGCTAATGGTGCTGTTGAAGATCTTGAAGAATCAAGTGGGAGCCACAAAACCCTTTCTAATAGAAGATTGTCAACTAAAAATAAAGAGAAACATGTCAATATCTTGCATCCACTCACTAAGGAAGCCCTTATGGGATGTATGGTGAAGAAAAATCTCCTGTTTCTTATTTCCGGAGAGGAGAAGCATCCACCTACATGGTATACCAGGTGCACCGACTTTCTCTTTTCTTGGTACAGTGCACCTACACGGCGTGAATTGCTTCAGTTTGGAGATGCTCCTGCTCCTGCTCCTTCACCTAATTCAGCAAAAACTTCCAGTTCTGAAACTCCGAATTCTACGCCACCTGCCCGTCCTCCTTCAAAGCCATTTTTCCCTCGAGACTACAATGATTCAAGCAAAAGCTCTGCACCTAGTGATCATTCTTCTACTAGTCAAAATGCTACTTCAGATGTACACTCAAATAAGCGAAAAAGCAACAGGAAAACAGTTCTTGTTGCAGTTCTTGTGACTGCTGCTGTCACATTTGTTGTTGTTGCACTCTTTTTTATATGCTATTGCAAGGTTTGTGGGGCTGGATCCAGAAAAGGAAGGAATGACGAGAGGCCTCTTCTTAGCTTAAGCATGAGTGACTATTCTGTTGGTATATACACTGTTCCTTATTTCTCTTGTATATATAAATATGTGTATGTATTGATTTTGGCTTTTGGTGTACTGATGTTTCTGAGACTTCAATCTTTCAGCTTCATTACACAAGTCATCTGTTTTAGGAGCTTCGATGAGTAATGCTGGTAATCATTCAGTCAGTGACAATTCCGACGATAAAATGGGTAAAAGTTTCTACATGGAGCCGAACGGTCTTAATGTTTCCAAAACTGAGATCCCTTTAGGAACTGTTACCGGCATTGCTGTGGCTGCAGCAGGGGATTCTGCACAGGTACCGCCCGGAAGGATCGGGACACATGGACTGCCTCCGCTTAAACCTCCTCCCGGTAGGGTGAATCCTTTTGAAGACCCACTGTCTCCTGCCAAGCCAGCCAATTTAGCTGCTCCGCCGCCACCTCCACCACCACAGAAACCTACATCTAGCGGTCCACGCCCTCCTGCACCAGGGGCTCCTCCACCACCACCTATACCAACTCGTGCGAAGGCTGGTCCTCGGCCACCACCACCTCCAGGTCCTGGTGCTACTCCACCTCGTCCTCCTCCCACGGGGTTGAAGCCGCCTCGACCTTCACCTCTTGGATCAAATGCATCCTCTAGTGCTTCAGCTGAGGGATCAGGGACTGATGCTTCTAAAACTAAGCTAAAGCCTTTCTTCTGGGATAAGGTTCTAGCCAACCCTGACCATTCAATGGTTTGGCATCAAATCAAATCAGGATCTTTCCAGTAAGTGTACTTTTTTCTTGCTTGATGTTGCTCTACGATTGTTTTGATTGAGTAAGGTTGCTTAATGAGCAGTGCATATCGTTTGACAGATTTGACGAAGAGATGATAGAGAGTCTCTTTGGATATGCTCCTGCTGACAAAAACAAGAATGGTTCAAAGGACTCTACGTCCCAAGATGCTTCCAAACAATTTGTTCAAATTATTGATCAAAGGAAGGCACAAAATTTATCTATTCTTCTTAAAGCCTTAAACGTGACAACTGAAGAAGTTTGTGATGCTCTCAAAGAAGGTGATCTTCTGTTCCTTTCTTTCTTTCTTTCTCTCCTATCAAGATCGAGAAACTACTAAAATTAATAGTCTTTGTAACCTTATTGGAAAACATATGTTATTGTCCCCCTCCACCCAAAGGTACATCTCGCGCATGTGGGTGTTATTGTGATTAATTGGGATTGAGATCAACCTGAGAACTGAAAGAGTACTATAGTCTTTAATTATCATGTGCAATCAAATGAAAGGTAGAAACTTTTTAGGTTTAGTACAAAAATAAGCTGTTTACTCAAAGGAAAGCAATTTAAGATGTTTTCTGCTAATTTTCTTTTGTTTTTCACTGATCGCCTCGCCATTCTCTTACTTGGCTACTCAATGAAAGCATCATGTTCAGCTGCTTTTAATTGTCTATCCCCCTCTGATAAGAAAGAAAATTGTTTGTAGGTCCTATAAAATTTGTTTATATTAGTATATCATGATTTTCTAGTGATTTCCAGCAGAGACAAAAATACTACTCCCTCCGTTTCAAATTAGACGAGGTACTTTCCTTTTTAGTTAGTCTGTTCCAAAATAAATGACACATTTTTAAATTTAGAAATAATTCAACTTTAAACTCTTCATTTTATCCTTTTTACCCTTAATGAGAAGTTTTTATAACCACACAAATATCACGTCCCCACAAAGTTTTTACCCCTTAAGCTTTTAAGACCACAAGTTTCAAAAGTCTTTTTTTTTTCTTCTTAAACTCCGTGCCGAGCCAAACTACCTCATCTAAATTGAAACGGAGGGAGTATGTGATTGCTTTCCATCTGCCTAAGTCCGGGCGGACAGAGTTACTCGATGGGTGATAGGTACACGGTGGAATAGTTAAGGTGCACGGCTGCACGCAAGGTGGTCTGGACACCACCGTTATAAAAAATGATTCTTTAGTGATTCTACTTACATTATTCGTCCTTATCCTAAAAAGATAAATTATATTTCATGAAAAAAGTATTTGATGCTTACCCATTATTCGTCTTTAATTTTTTACTTTTTTTGGAGAAAGTTTAGTATACTTGTATTTTAATTGGGTGCTATTTCTTGGAAATGGAAATATTGGTTGTTGTACATTTGCATCTACCAAAGCAGTGACTAATGTTTTATACTGACTCAGGAAATGAGCTGCCTTCTGAACTCCTTCAAACTTTGCTTAAGATGGCACCAACTACTGATGAAGAATTGAAACTGAGGCTCTATAGTGGGGATCTCTCTCGGCTTGGGCCTGCGGAGCGGTTCTTGAAAGTCTTGGTTGATATTCCATTTGCCTTCAAGAGGCTAGAATCCTTGCTTTTTATGTGCAGTCTTCAGGAGGAGGCATCAATGGTTAAAGAATCATTTGCCACTTTGGAGGTGAGATAAATGTTCTTGATCATGATGAACTGTTGGATTATGAGTAAATATTCCTAACTTTTAGTAGTTGTTTCATATTGGTTTTATTTTTTTGTTTTTAATTTTTTGTTTTAATTTTTTTATGGTTGAAGTACACTAAACTACTCTGGATTTGGTTGAGTGGTACTTGAAAGTTTAGTCTTGGTCAACTTGTCAGATGAACCAATGAGTTGTAGGGATTTCATTGCTTCCAATGTGTCGCTACATGCTGTTCTTCCTCCATGAAGCGTGTTGTTGCTAAAGTTTGATTTACAACATATCATCTGCTTGCGTGACATATATTACAATTTCCTCAAATAACCTCCCATCCAACAACCGAGTCTGTTCTAACGGTTAGATTCAGTGATGTATTTCATACCATTGTCAAAATAGAAGGCAGAAGCTTCTATCTTTGCGGCATCTCTCTTGCATCTTACATTGATAACCTTAACGTTCTTTTGTCTTCTATGGATATACTCACATTGGTGTTTGCTGCATCTTCATTTTATGCTCCAGGCTGCTTGCACGGAACTCCGAAAAAGCAGGCTGTTTCACAAGCTCCTTGAGGCTGTTTTGAAAACTGGCAATCGTATGAATGATGGAACATTTCGTGGTGGTGCTCAAGCATTTAAACTTGACACGCTTCTGAAACTATCCGATGTAAAAGGGATAGATGGGAAAACTACATTGTTGCATTTTGTTGTTCAAGAGATAATCCGTTCAGAAGGTGTACGAGCTGCCCGTTCCAGGGAGCGAGGCAGCATGTCGAGCATCAAGTCCGATGATCTACCCGAGGGTCAGTCTCAGGACTCGGAGGAGTACTATCGAAGTACTGGTCTACAGGTCGTTTCAGGTTTGAGTAGTGAACTTGAAAATGTGAAAAAAGCTGCAATTTTAGATGCAGATAGCTTAACAGGCACAATGTCCAAGCTTGGTCATGCACTAAAAAAATCACGGGATTTCCTAAATTCAGAAATGAAGAACGTAGATGATGAAAACAGGTTTCACCAGACCCTAAAGAGTTTTGTGCAGAATGCTGAGGTTGACATCATGTGGTTACTCGAGGAAGAAAAAAGAATTATGGCTCTAGTTAAGAGCACGGGTGATTATTTCCACGGAAATTCAGGGAAAGATGAAGGTTTGCGATTGTTTGTTATTGTTCGGGATTTTCTGGTAATTTTAGATAAGGTATGCATAGAGGTGAAAAATGCTCAGAGAAAGCTAAATGGCACGCCAAAGAAAGAGAATTTGGCAGGTAAAACTTCAGAGTCCACCAATTTACCGTCCCTCGATCTCCGTCAGAAGCTTTTTCCAGCTATCGCCGACCGGAGAATTGATGATTCTAGTTCAGATGATGATACTCCTTAAGGTAAGGTTTCATTAAAATGAAACTGGTTTTGTGTTTTTCTTCATTTGCTTGCTTCAATTTTGTCTGCTTTAGGAGACACCGGCTCTATTCATTCTAATTTCATGACTTAAAAAATGTATAAAAATAGGATATAAAATAGTCGTTCACTTTCTTTTGCAGACATGCAATTGAGGTGTCTAGAAGGGTAAAATCACTGATTTATTGTATTTAATAATCACTTTTTAGTTCATGATACATCAATTATCTACAAATTGCTATTGAATAGATATATACTGCAAGCTTAAAAGTGATGCATTTACTAAACAATTCATAAAATAGGGTAATTTTTACCTTAAATTGCAGACCTATTAAAACATAAAAATCTTAAAAACAAAACAAAGTAAGTGATTAAAATATAAATGTTGCATTGATTAGTATACCTTCAAGTATACAATGTGTTGATAGCCCTAAGAATTTATGACTTCTACTTCATGATATACTCGAGCCTCTACGAGTCATTTGTTATTCCTTTTGTAGCTAAAAACATGAATTAATCCGGGAAAAAATCGATCTCGTGTTTTCTAGAATGAAAAAAATAAAACCATTACACCACAACTGCGCCTCAATCCCAAGTTATATAATTAGTTGGGGTTGGCTGTATAAATCATCATTATCATAAATTCTTCATTTTGGTTCATAATATTTCAATTCATACTTTATGTCACGCTAGGGTTTCTCTAATATACTCTAATAATAATATTCTAATATACTAAGAGTCTTTTAGTAAGCATTATTCTTTTTGTTAATTTTCTATCTTTTGCCAGATATGCCTAGATAATATACTAAGATTACTTCTTTGTCCGGTTGGCGAAGCGTTCGGAGGGAACGAAGAAAGATTGTTTAAATATTCATTTTAGAGAGAAGATTCAGTTGTAGCAGAGAGAGATCAGACAGAAGATGTGCTTACAAATTCGACCTATTACATGGTTCTATATCAATATTTCCTTTCCTAAAGCTCCTACTTGTAGTTAAAACTTATAAGTAGTTAGGAAAATTCTCATTCATTATTTATCTTGTAATTCTTTGTTTCAATGTAATTGAACAAAGTAGTTCTGTTGATTATTACATATGGTGTCTCAGAAAGTGGTCCATTTCATAATGAGTTATGTCTAATGCAGTGTTGTCAAAGATAAAAAGCGTTGGCGCCTATTGGGGGCGCAAGCTTTAATGAAAAAGGGCGCAAAGTATTATATCTATAATTTAGGAGTAATAATTCAATTGCACCAATAACAGTAATAAGGACAAAGGAATTTAAAGATGTTAAAATAGTGAGATGTTTATCGTTTAGTGTCAATGGATGGTGATTGATTGAAGCTCTTTCAAGTGAGGCGAGGCGCTCAGCCTGTTTTGCACCTAGCTTTAGGGGGTAAGCACGCTTTATGCGAGCCATTGACAACACTGGTCTCTTGGGCAATGAATTTTTGTAATGTATACAATATGTTACTTTTTTAGTTTTAAAAAATTGTGAATCAAATATATATATGTTGTTTGTAAATACTTTCATAATGTTTAGAAGCAAGAATATAGTTGTGTGTATATAAGTAGAACAATGCCTAAATAACTTGTTTGCATAGATCTGGAAGAAAAATTATTGTCCTCACTTTCAGTATCAATTTTCTTTGCTCTGCAAATTCTTATTTGAACATTAAAACGCTTTGTTGTTACTATCAGAGGCGGACCTACGTTGGGAGGTGGGGGGTCATCGGAACCCGTTAATCTCGGCAAAAATACAATATATATATATTTTATATCTATATGTATATACAGTGAGGATCCCGTGAATATTTTAAGTGTACCCCTAATCACAAAAGGTGGACGGAAGCGTTGGTTTAAGAAAGTGCTCAAAGTGCCTTCACTTCCTTGATGATGTCCCAAGTTCGAATCCTGTCTCCTACAACTTTTATAGATGAGTTTGATGTGGAAGCACATAATTCCGACCCTGATATGAGAGTACGATGTACTTATGTTATATTAGTACCAAATTAATGATATTCGATAATATCGAAGTTTGTATTTTGATGATAGTTATCATAATCATTAAGTTTTTATAGACTTGAACACCGAACTTTATCGCTAACTAGTACTTGGTATACTAAAGATGGTGCCCCCGCTATGCTCAAGTCCTGGGTCCGCCTCTGGTTACTATTATGGAGTATTTGTTATAGTAACTCTGAAATGCCAACTTCAGAGTTACTTTTCACTTTCAGTATCAACTTTCTTTGCTCTGCAAATTTTTATTTGAACATTAAAAGGCTTTGTTGTTACTATTATGGAGTATTTGTTATAGTAACTTTGAAATGCCAACATATCTGAACAATATGTTACTTTTTTAGTTTAAAAAATTGTGAATCAAATATATATGTTGTTTGTAAATACTTTTCATAATGTTTAGAAGCAAGAATATAGGTGTGTGTATATAAGTAGAACAATGCCTAAATAACTTGTTTGCATAGATCTGGAAGAAAAATCATTGCCCACTTTCACTTTCAATATCAATTTTCTTTGCTCTGCAATTTCTTATTTGAACATTAAAACGATTTGTTGTTACTATTATAGAGTATTTGTAATAGTAAACTCTGAAATGCCAACTTTCCCCCCTTTAACATGTATATTTAATTCATGGAAAGCACATAACATGTAACTGAGAACTACACAATTAAACAAAATTCACATAGAATCTTCACTAATTTACAATAGCTTTACAAGCTCCATTAAAAAAAAAAAAGTGATACCACAGGAGACACATTTTTAAGAACATCACTTTCCGGGAACAAAGTTTGTGGCATAGGACCAAGCATTATTGTTAACTGGGTCAGCAAGATGGTCGGCAAGGTTCTCCAATGGACCTTTTCCGGTGACGATAGCCTGAACAAAGAATCCAAACATGGAGAACATAGCAAGTCTACCATTCTTGATCTCCTTCACCTTGAGCTCAGCAAAAGCCTCTGGGTCATCAGCAAGGCCTAATGGGTCAAAGCTACCACCAGGGTAGAGTGGGTCGACAACCTCACCAAGAGGTCCACCAGCAACACGGTAACCCTCAACGGCTCCCATCAACACGACTTGACAAGCCCAAATGGCCAAGATGCTTTGTGCATGAACCAAACTTGGGTTGCCCAAGTAGTCAAGACCACCCTCGCTGAAAATCTGGGATCCAGCCTTGAACCATACAGCCTCACCGAATTTGACACCATTACGGGCCAAGAGCTCGGGGAAGACACAACCAAGAGCTCCAAGCATGGCCCATCTACAGTGGATCACCTCTAGCTCACGGTTCTTAGCAAAAGTTTCTGGATCAGCTGAAAGTCCAGCAGTGTCCCACCCGTAATCACCGGGGAACTCACCAGTCAAGTAACTTGGGGATTCACCAGAGAATGGGCCCAAGTACTTGACACGATCAGGACCATACCACGGGCTGCCAGAAGAGACTGGCTTGGCCTTGGTAACAGTCTTCCTCATGGTGACTTTTCCATTTCCGGTGATCTCAGAGGAAGATGGTGAGAGTTTCACCGCCTTTCCGGCAAAAGAAGAGGAAGAGAGAGCCATTGTAGCAGCTGCCATTGTAGAAATAAAGTGAAATACTCTTGTCTCTTGAATACAGCTACTACACAGAAAGAGTTTTTGATTTATGGCTTGAGTTTAATGGGCTTGCATCAACTGTATATAAATGACTCAGTAGGACCAAAGTCCTCATCCTAGAATATGATCATCTGTTTTATAATTGGTGAATGACAATTTGCTATATTTTTATTTTTTGGTTTCTTGTCCATTTGGCAAAGTTCAGCACCGTTAAGCATGACTAGATTCTTTTAGATACATTATGTTTAAAAAATCCAACCCATCGAAGATTTCCTCTTACAGCCAACCCAAAATAGCCACGTGTATAGTGGATTTTTGAAATATCCACTTGACCAGATAATAAGGGTATAACCTCATGACCATGCAATATTGTCTTGCAAGGAAAGTGAAAAATGTGTAGGCCTTAGATATTTCCTGCTGACATTGTAGAGAGAGATAGAATGCAGGAAAAGAAATATTCTTGCTTTTACCTTAGATCTTTATGACATTGTTAACTAAAAGTAAAAGGATAGAATACCAGCAAGAGTCGTGGTAAGATCTTGAGTTCGAATCCTGGGTATGGAATCGTCTTTACTAGGGAGCACTTTTATCCCCAAATGTGGAACTTCCCGGCGTGAAGCCAATTTAGCCGGATCCTAGTGCGGTACACCCGATGGAAAACTAATAAAATTAAGGATAGGGCCATAGAACTTAATCAATTACATTAGCAAATGTGTTGTGTAGTTTATCATATTGAAATGAAAAATGATTTGGAGACTTTGAGAAAAAATGACTTGGGACTTGGTACTATTAGAGAATTTGAAAATGGCGCTGCATAGCCAAATTAAATTCAAGCCACGCATAGTCCAACTAATATTTGGTAAAGCATGTTTCACAGCCAATTTCTGGCAAAGCAGAGCCAGAAACTTTTCATGGGACAAATTGAAAGTTTCAAGTGTTTCAAATTTTCTTTTGTCTCTGCATTATATTTAACTGAGACTTTAAGAAGAGTCCTTGTATTTTGCATTTAATCATAATAATTAATGATTATTATTATTATTTCAAAAGTTAAATTCCAAAAGACATGACTCGAGGCAATGCTTCACTGTGGAAAACTGGTACTTTCCTATAGTTGATCAAGGCTGCTTGAACTTTCAAACATGGTCAGGTCTTGGAATCGGGCTAAGAGCAGGAATTAACTACCAAACACTCAATTTTGTATCAACAAACTTCTTATTTCCTCCGGATCCCCTTACTCTTTAGTTGGTACTCCCTCCCGTCAGCAAAATTATCCAAGACGAAGGACATAAATAGAAGATTCAATGCATCTCTAAAAATTCCTCATAAACATATTGTTTGCTGACTTGTAGCATGTTTGGCCTAGCTTCTAAAATGAACTTATTTAGTGCTTTTAAGCAAGCACCTAACTTTAAAAGGGAAAACAAAAAGTTACTTTTGACCAAAGAGGAGCTTAGCCAAAGAGAACAGCTGAACAGTTAATTCCTCAAAAGCCAAGGTAATAAGGTATACATACTGATGGACAGAATGCAACTCCCAGGTTTTAGAGCTAGACCAATCAGTATCACATTTTACTGAAAGCTAATGAAATGTACTCTTTTCTTTACTGTATTCTTTAGAGCTTAATAATGATCAGCATTTCAAATGTACATGAGAGGCAACAGTCCTCTCAGCATATAGTCTATAGTTTAGCTCTAACACTGTAAGTTTCCATATTTAAGGAAGGTATTTTCCATTAACATAGATTGATTTCAATCTCACAGTAAGGAGATACTGAGTTCAACGAGAAGAAAATAGACACAGGTCTTCGTTCATTGTTTCATTTGTATTCACAAACCAACATAAACCCCTACCAACTAATTAACCAAACAATATTAAAAAACAAGAACTTAGAAAACACTAAACAAAACCTAAGATCCTAAATTCTAAAACAAAGAACAGCTACTATGAAACCAAGTCTAATCTTCATCAACAGAGGGCTTAGAGGAAGCACCAGATTTCTTAGGGAGCAAAAGGTTGTGAATGTTGGGCATGACTCCACCATTTGCAATTGTAACATCTCCAAGGAGTTTGCTGAGTTCTTCGTCATTTCTCACTGCCAATTGAATATGCCTTGGCACTATTCTCGTCTTCTTGTTGTCTCGCGCTGCATTTCCAGCCAATTCTAGCACCTATATAACATCAAAATTCACCCCCCCCCCCCAAA